TTTTTTTTTTTTTTTTCCGTTGTGTACTACCGGTTGTCCGAGGCTCGACAATAAAGCTCGAGGATCTGGAATGACCGGGCTACCGGTAGCCTAAGCCACGGGCCTTGACAATCGGTAGGTACTGGTGGTTTAAATTAATTACTGATAAAAAAAAAAAAACAATAAATTTTATTTTTCGATTCGTTGCGAGAAACAAATACTTCAATGATATCTAACCTCAAAGTCCCCCCCTCTACGAACTTTTTGTTTTTTGTTTTTTTCGCTGGACAGGACAGACCGAAAATTTAGAGGTATGTGTTTTAGGTCGTCGTTAATCTATCGAAAAAAAAAAAAAAAAAAGTTTTCGGGCCCGAAATGGAGTTTGGCGGGCTCCGAACTGCTGCTCGCTAGGGCCCAAACACTGGTCTGAACCCCCGAATGTCCGGGGAGTTTTCCCCCAAATGTTTGGGCGGGTAACACTATATACGTAATCTATGATCATAAGTATTTTCAGATCGTATGTAATTTATGACAATGAGTATTTTCATATCTTGAGAGAGGTAGGAGTGAAAGGTCACCAATATCTCCTTTGTCGTGAGAGGTAGCTATGCTTGCGAGGGTCCCCTTTGTATAAACTTAAAAATAGGTAGGTAGTGAAAACCGAATAATTTGTGAGAAGAATCAAGTGTAGTTTTTATAAGAAAATAAAAGGGAAAAAAGTTACCGAAGTGGGAACAATTGAACCACCAATCCCCACGCCGGCCTAAGTTTTCCTAGCCTTACGGACTGGGCTTTTAGGGGGCAGGCGACCAGTAGGTGCACGGGGTTCAATCCCGCAATTTTCGAGCACATACTTTGGCGATTTTTCACGATCATAAGAATTAATAAAATTTTAAGATCTTCTAGATTATATTTTGTTCTTTTATAAAAAACTATCATAAATAAATAAATAAATAAAATTAAACCGTGAACTAAGTGTCGCGCCAATGCCTCACATTTTTTATTTTTGTCACTCTACCACGTGAGGGTCAACGGAAAAAGTATCTGAACTTCCACAGTTTTTGCGCTGATAAAAATTTCTGATAAAATCTTAAATTTGGAGGCTGTGTGAATTTGGTCGTTGTCTTGTCAGGAAAAAATATTTAAAATTTTTAAAGATATATAGTTTAACCAGGAAATATATGTTGTGCTAATTCATCTCATTTTTTGTGTCAAGAAATGTGAAAATTGAAGGCTCCATAAATTTGGTCGCACTCTTTCCAGAAAATAAAAAAAATAGAAAAAAACATTTATGCCATATGATAAATCCAGTGGAAATTCGATGCATTTTCAATTCGTATTAATCCCCTAATTCTCCTATTGTGTTCCCTGTAGCCCTCTTGATCATGTGTTACTGGTCCCCCCGAATTTAGGCCGGCGGGGGGAGTGGTGGTTTAAATTGTGCACCTTCCCTGGGGCCGCCATGTGTTAATCGGTTTGGCGACCCACTAATAGTGTAAAGGTATGTGCACTTGCTATTGCTTATGTAGCTTTCTTGGTGTCAATGAAAAATGTTATCTTGATGGTAAAAAAACTCTGACAATGACAAAGATAGCCCACTCAGGTTTGAAAGTTGAAGAGGAGCATGGTAAAATTATACATTAACCTCTACACCAATGTGGCATGCGCCCTTGAAAGAGCGTGATCCCAAACCAACTTTCACGAAATGCCCCTCATTGAGGATATGCTCGTACGAGTACGTTTCATAATGTATATAACCTTTATTAGGGCGAGGTCTTTGTTTGTGTTTTTTCCCCTTTTTTTTTTTTTTTTTTTTTTTTTTTTTGTGCCCTACCAGCGAGGCAAGGTAGAAAATACATTATTGGGAAACACCTTCACTGTGTGCATGCTCTCAGTGGTACTTTTCACAATTTATATGACCTCTATAATAACCAACTCTTTATTTCTTTGTTCTTTTTTTGTTTCTCTTATTATTTAATGTTCATGAGAAGATCCTCACTTAGACACAAGTGTTTTCCATAAGATATCTCACCAGCATATTGTCCTAATTTATATTTGTTTGTTTTTTTTTCTCTTCTCGATGTTTTATTTTGTTTTTTTAATTAGTAGAGCCCAACTTTTTTTTTTCCCAATTTCAATTTTAATTTTTTTTTTTT